TTGCGTTTTTTCTATATAATTTAACTGTGTAAAAAAAGCCACGGCCGCCATATTTTAACATATTTTAACACACAACCCCTATCACACTAAGCAATAACACCTGTCTTAGACGGCCACCTTAGTGACTCCATTACGTTTTGTCATAAATCAAGCATTGGTCCCTGGCGTTGTGGGCGAGCCGTCATAATCCAATCACCTGTCGTTGTTGTTTAGATAGTCCCTCCAACTGATCATGTTGCGTAGGCCCCTCCCACTGTTGACCAATGGGTAACAAATTTTCAGCTGCTGGTGAGGAAAGCGTGTGATCCCTCATAACCCATAAGCCCGTCCAGAACTCATACACAAATCGTAAGTGAGATGGGTGGTCACTGTTTACCCAGTCTATAATAAAACAACAATGGACGTCAACATGAACTAGTGACAGAGGGCGTCGTTCGTTCTCCGAGCGGTGGCGACCCATGTGTTTGTTTTAACATGGCACTTGGTCTTCCACTTCTGATACATTTCCTTTTATTGTCATCCTTGAGCAAAATCAGCAACAAAATAAAAATTACAAACAAAATACAAACCAACAACAACAACAACAAAAACAACAAGAATGCGGCTACTTTCGATTGGGACCTCAGATGGGAATGGTTTGTTTTCTTCATCTTGATCAGTCCTGCCTAAGACGGCCACCTGTCTTATACGGCCACTTTTCTTCTTGACAATGGGTGGCCGTCTTACACAGGTGTGACTGTACTTCCCTTGAAAGTTGTGTGCTAAATAGAATGGAAGTACTCCCAAAGTCCTATTTGAAAGCGATAGCTCCATAAAGTTTGTAACAATGTGAGCCAACACAATGCTTTAAAGCAATTTTGAGATGTTTTTGCTCCTTTCCTCAAAATGTTCATTTCTTGGCTTTGAAAGCTAAAAACTCAAAAATCATTTAAGATTAAGACATGAAATTTGGAGGGTAAGGGCACCATGCAATTCCAAACAGAACTATGCTAGTTTTTTTATAATAAAAACAAAAACAAAACATTTTAAATGATTTTTTTTACTTCGCTATTTTGATTATTTTTTTCATTCGCTACTATGCAAGTCTTCTAAAAGTCATAAAATTATTAATATTTACAATTTCAAGAAAAGCTAGCATTATTTTCTTAAGATTTGTGTGCACATTTAAAATATGTAGTTAGTTTATAGATAGCATGGATGATTTTTGAGTTTTTAGCTTTTGAAAATGGTCCTTCAGAAAGCCAGGTTTCACTCTAATTGGCCATTTCTGAGATTATGTAACTGGTAATGATTCCCAAAACTGATTGTTTTTAACCTTGGATGAAATGCTTTGAGAAAATGAGAAAAAACAAGTAAAAATCATTAAATTGTAGATTTTGTTGCTAAGAAGAAGAGTGTGGCCTTAAGAGGCAAAGATGCTTCTTTCCCAGAGGAAAAACAAAAAAATCAAAACAACCCCAGCCCGAGTTATCTCTTTACTTCATTTATAATTTAGTGAACAAGGGGAGCTAATTTATTTGCCTCCCTGATTTAGTAAAATCCTTTTCGGGTCATTTTTGGTCTAAAAAAACCCCAAAAAAACCCACAATGAAGAACTTTTCATTTGATGATCTGGAATTGATTTTCAAAATATTTTTCCTTCAGGGAGTGGCCTACCAGTTTTGACCTGAGACTTACTTGGGCCTGTGGGCAGTTTTGTTTCCGTTGATGACGGCAGCGTTAACCCCGCACACCGGGCTGAACAAAAGCTTCTCCACCTCCTCTGTCTCTGTGGACCATTTCAGTTTTGGTTTGAGTAAAGAGTTAGTAACGTCGGTGATCGGATGAGAACCAGTAGGTTTGAGTAAAGAGAAACACATCGACTCAATAATGGTCAGTTTAGAAATAGTTTTAGTTTTAGAAGAAGTTTTACAGCGCTCGCAACTGCATAAGGTCATACGAGCGCCAGAAGATTAGTGGTGTTACAAGAGAGTAACAAACATAAAAAAGAAGAAGGGGAGATAAGGATTATAGATGTTTCATAGGAAAGAAGAAGCAAACCACACCAGAGCACCCGCCAACCACCCACCATTTAGAAACAAGACAGACAGACAGGAACAGAGGGAAAGTAAAGAAGTAGGACCTACCAGTGACACCCTCCAACCACCCGCCTCTGTAGATGAGAACATTATCACCCAAACAGACCTGATAGCATTTCTGAAACAATTTCAACCTCGTGGGAAGCATACTGTAAAGGGTACGGGCGCAGAGAATGTAAATAATCTACGCACACTGACCCTGCTTTTTAGAATGGAACGTATCAATGCCTGGTGAACCCAACCTCGAAAATCAGTGTGGCTGACCCCATCACAACACAACAACTAGGAACTCCCCACCACCACAACAACATCTTCCTCCCCACCACGACATAACACAACAACACACACTCTCCACCACAACAACAACAACACACTTTCCCAACAACAACAACATCATCATCCTCCCCACCACGACATAACACAACAACACACTCTCTCTCCACCACGACAATAACAACACACTTTCCCAACAACAACAACATCATCATCCTCCCCACCACAACAACAACACCAACATC